GACAGTTTTTGGTCCTGCCATAGGGGCTGGGGACTGGACTCTATGACCTCTCGAGGTCCGTTCCAGTCCTAGTATTCTATGATTCTATGAAAACTGTAATTTTCACTTACTGACAAATCACAGCTTCTGAATTTCTGCCTGTTCTTTAAGAAGTGACAGAGTTTGATTTGAGATGTACATAATGTAACCTAATGTAGAGGCTCCTTCTCACTTTGTTAAAGAGCATTTTTTGCATACCCATTAAAGCTGTGAATTTAGAAAGCTAGAGTTTATGAAAAATGATGCAGTATCCTATTTTGCATATTACATTAATATAAATCATTTACATAAATGTTTATTACATAAATTCTCCCCCCATGCTTCGCCAACTACACCACCCTCAATATTCTGATTTGGTTCATTTTCAGTTTCCCTCATGTCACACCCCCATCATCATGTGAAGCAGTCGGAGCCATCTGTAATACTTTATGATTATATATGACATCTATTTCTTATTGTGTTTGACATAGGATTATATGTGGTTACCTGCATATATGCAGGAAAGGACACAATAGCTTCAAGCAGTCCCATCCATGTATTACTTAAGGACAATGAAAGGCATCTTTTGCTTTAATGACAGTGATGGATTCAATAGTCTGCCAAAGTAAATATGAGAAGGTCACTCATCCTGTGCAGTAACTGAGGTTCTTACAGATAGCTGTCCCTGTGGTGATCCATGTTAGGTGATTATGTGCCCCTGCATTTGTAATAGCAATACCTGGCTGAGTTGCACATGTGCTGTCCCAGTCTTGTGCAGCTTTAGGTGGTTACATAAGGTCATGTGACCAACTCTTCCTCAGTTCATTCTGTACCACAGAATCTCTAGTATAAAAACTGAAGTAGAGGAGAGGAGAGAGAATAGTGGAACAGCCACAGGAATAACTCTCTCAAGGAAACTCAGATACTGCACAGGGTAATTTCTTCTATCAGGAGTTTCACTGTGGGTACTCCATGTTAGGTGGCTGTAGAGCAGTGCCCCTCCGTGGAAGGGCCACACTGCCATGTGCTTTTGCGCAAGAGATGCGCTTTTGTGCAAGAGCGTCCACGGCAGTGTGGACGCTCTTTTGCACAAGAAAGCTCTGATGGCCATTTTAGCCATGAGGGTTTCTTGACGCAAGAAACCGCGTCCACACTGCCATGTGCTTTTGCGCAAGAGATGCGCTTTTGTGCAAGAGCGTCCACGGCAGTGTGGACGCTCTTTTGCACAAGAAAGCTCTGATGGCCATTTTAGCCATGAGGGTTTCTTGACGCAAGAAACCCCTGTTGCCCGTCCACACTGCCTTCTTGCACAAGAGGGCTTATTCTTTGTGGGGAAAGGAATAACTGTTGCAGAAGAAGCCCTCTGTTCCAATGTTTTACTGTAAATTTGCTTGCGCAAAAACAGATGTGCAGTGTAAACACTCCGCAAGTTTTTGCACAAGAACGGCCGTTCTTGCTGAAGAAGCCTGCACTGTAGATGAAGCTGAACTGAAGAAAGCATGTGATGATGAATACTGTTTTATGGCATAATGTAGTGTGAAAGTATTGGCTGACACCCAGGTTGTTGCTTTGCAGAGGTGCACAACTGGGGACATTGTTTAGGAAGACTACCAAAACAGACGGAGCATGTATGAGTCTCCCAGTGTGGATTGTAGCTGTTGCGCATAACAGAAGATGATGCATCCAGAGATCGATTTAGACTTGACAGAGCCTTTAGATTTGACAGAGCCTTTAGACTTTTAGACTTGACAGAGCCTTTAGATTTGACAGAGCCTTTAGACTTTTAGACTTGACAGAGCCTTTAGATTTGACAGAGCCTTTAGACTTTTAGACTTGACAGAGCCTTTAGATTTTTTCCCCTGATAGAAAAATAATTGTGATGATTTTCTGAATGTCTTTGCTCTATGTAAAAAGCTGCTATGCTTTGGACATCCACGGTTTGGAATGCTGCTTCTCATTTATTCTTATAGGGTTTTGGAAAGAACGAGAGATGAATGGCTAATTCAGATAGAATGAAGAAGCAATCTTAAGTGCGAATGAGGGATTTGGTCTTAAGTGAATGTTATTTTTTAAAAATGTGTATGGAAGGTGTGCCACAACGGCTCCCAATTCCCTTATCCATCTCGCAGATGTGAGGGTGATAAGGAAGGCCCCTTTCATTAAAAGGTGTAGAGAACAGATTGCTAATGCTTCAAAATAAGTGTGTGTGTGTGTGTGTGTGTGTGTGCGTGC